TAATAAAGGATGCCAGTTGGAAGAATTATTCCAAGAGTTCTGCCTTCTTAAGATGCAAAGTGGGGTGGGTCCTTACATTAGACAGGATTTGCAAAATTAATCCACCTGGAAGGGAGACCCTTGCCGGGGGATTTTGCAAAAAATTACAATGTCAGACAATGGAGCAAGGAGGGGGGAAAACTCCCTGGAAAGAGAGCCGCTGCCCCAACTGGAACCTTGCCGGATGTAGGGATCCGAGAGGTCAGATTCTTCAGGAGAAGAAGTGGTGGAGACACGGGACCACAAGCCTCGCTGGTCAATGGGCGTTGGAAAGAAAAGTGAGTGGGGAAAGGAATCAAGAAAGGTGACCCTGAGACGGGGGGGGGGGGCAAGCAACCAGAATGGAAGCAGGAGATGGAGAAATCCCTGCACGCAAGTGAAGAGGGAGAAAGCTGGGCACCATACTCAGACTGGATCCTAGAGAAAGCTATTGACCTGATGAAGAAAACTCTCAGCTCCCTAGGAGAGGAGAATCCTGAGCCCTACGGCCGCCCCAGCTCCTGGAGCCGCAAAGGGAGAGACACCGAGGGGGAAGTGGAACCTGCAGCCCCGGGGACATCTGCTGATCCAGTAGTCCCCACCCCCTACCGAACTACAGATGGCGATCTGGACAGAAGACACTACCACCAACAACGGAGGCACCGAGCCATTCCAAGACATCCGCCATTGGAGGTGAAATTCAAAGGGGAACCGCTTGGGGTTTTTCCTAACCCAAGTCCTCAGCTACATAGAGGAATACGGGCAGGACATCCCCAGCGACAAAGCTTGCATCCAAATCGTGCAATCTGCCCTGGACGGACCGGCTGCAGATTGAGTGGTAAACTTGCACGACTCCAATGCCCAAGAGCTCAACGACTTCAACCGTTTCATGTCCTCTCTGAGAAGGTGATTTGAAGACCCAATGGATGATCGCAAAGCCCACGGAAAGATAAAAACGATGAGGCAAGGCAAACGCCCAGTGGCTGAATATACACAAGAATTCCGGGCCATTGCCAGCAAACTGAACTGGCCAGAGGACATACTCCTTAGCCATTTCAAAGACGGACTAAATTATGACCTATATGACACTTGCCTGCCCCGAGGAGACCCACACCAACTTGAGAAATGGCATGGGGTGCTATCAATTCAAAGTCTTGCCATTTGGATTACAAGGGGGCCCTGCAGTCTTTATGCAACTAATCAATGACGTTCTAAGGGAGCACCTGTTTAAGGGGGTCCTTGTTTATTTGGACGACATTCTTATCTTCACTGAAACAAAAGAGGAACATGTCAACCTTGTCAGAGCGGTTTTAAAGAAACTGCGAGGCGCCCATCTATATGCCAATCTCTCAAAATATGAATTCCACCAGGAAACGATAGACTACCTAGGCTATCGCATATCCCCCCAGGGCATTGAAATGGACCCAGAGAAAGTCAGAGCAGTATTAGATTGGGCACCACCCCGCACAAGAAAGCAACTTCGAAGTTTCCTAGGCTTTGCAAACTTTTACCGCCAATTCATCCCCTCATTTGCCCTGATAGCCTTGCCCCTCACTAACTTACTAAAAACGAAGGGAGCATCCTCAGTAAAACCTAGCCAGCCATTAACATGGACAATGGAGTGCCAAGCAGCATTTGAGAGACTAAAGAGACTTTTTTCTGCCGAACCAGTACTAAGGCACCCAGATATGGATAAGCCCTTAGTAATACAGGCAGATGCAAGTGATGTGGTAGTGGGGGCTGCTCTATTACAAGAAAACGATGATGGAGTATTGCAACCCTGTGCATATACATCCAAGAAACTCACGGAAATAGAACAGCGCTGGCCCGAATGGGAGGAGGAGGCATACAGGATACATTGGGCATTACTCACGTGGCGACAGTTCCTGGAAGGCAACAAAATCCCCTTCCAGGTGTGGACTGACCACAAAAATTTGGAAGCCCTGAAAGCGCCCAGGAAGCTCAATCCCAAACAAGCCCGCTGGTCCCAGCATTTTCACCAGTTTCAATTTAAGCTCAAACATTTACTAGGGAGAAAGAACTTCCTGGCAGATGCACTCTCTCGCATGCCCCAATATAACAGTACGCGAGCCACAGACTCTAAACCAATGATGGCAGAGTCATAGCTGGCAGCACCAGTAACCACAAAAACCCAAGCTAAATTAAAACCACAACTGGACAGCCAAACCGGAATTGAATTCTGGAAAAGTTTGGAAACAGATGAATGGTTCCAGAAAAACAAAAATGTGTGCACAATGAGAGACGGGTTGCCTTGGGTAGGGGAAAGGTTATATATACCAACAACCCAAAGAATATATATTCATGCAGCTTTGCCATGACACAAAATTAGCTGGGCATTTTGGATTTGTAAAAACTTTACACTTAATTAAACAGCAATTTTGGTGGCCATCCATAAAAAAAGGACATAGAAAACTACGTATCCAGCTGCCCAAAATGTGCTACTGCAAAGAGGTTGCAAGGGAAATCGCCAGGACTATTACAAACAGTGGCAAATCCCTCAGCCCCCTGGAGGGAAATAGCCATGGATTTTATAGTGGAATTGCCAGAAAGCAATGGGAATACTGTTGTCTGGACGGTCATGGACTTGTTTTCCAAATAGGTGCACTTTATCCCTTGCCAAAAGATTCCCATCGCAAAAGCCTTAGCGAAACATTTCGTCCAGCACATTTACAGACTGCACGGGGCACCCCAATGCATCATCTCTGATAGGGAAGTGCAGTTTATGTCTGCATTTTGGAAGGAATTTTTATCCCTTTTAGGAACCACTCAGGGACTGACATCTAGCCACCACCCACAAGGGAATGGGGGGGGGGGGCTGAAAAAATGAACTCAGTACTCGAGCAATAATTTCCAACAGACCGGGTGGGTGGACTTACTCCCTTTTGCAGAAGTTGCCTACAATAATGCAGTCCACTCCAGCACAAGTTACACTACTTTTCAAATAGCCACCGGTCAAAGTTTCAACCCCATGCCAGAATTAACCCCAAACGAACCAACGATCCCATCACTGAAAGAATGGATGGAACAATTACAAGACACCTAGCCAATAGTTAGAAAAGCACTAGATGAAGCTAGGCAGACATACCAAGTACAAGGTGATAAAAAAAGAGTTGAGCCTACACCATTCATTATAGGAGAAATGGTGTACTTATCTACAAAATACCTAAAGTCCCTACAACCCTATAAAAAACTTGGACCAAAATATATAGGGCCTTTTCCAATTAAAAGAATCATAAACCCAGTAACAGTAGAATTAGAATTACCCAAAAATCTAAGGCAAATACACCCAATTTTTCATTGCAGCTTGCTGAAAAGAGAGCATCAGTCACCTTTACGGCCAAAAATCCCCACCACCACCTCCAATCATGGTGGAGGGCGAACAACATTTCAAAATAAAGGAAATCCTTGACTCTAGGAGATATCATGGAGCAACTCAGTACCTAGTTGCGTGGAAACACCTCCCTGCCTCACAAAACGAGTAGGTCCATAAGCGTCATGTCAGAGACCCGAAGCTATTAAAGATGTTTCACACAGAGTATCCTAACAAGCCTGACTAACTTTTATACCTGTTTTGTTTTCTTTCAGGTGGATCTGTCTTTTTTTAAGGGGGCAGGATGTCAGAATCCAATTGTATTTCATCTCTAGTTATCATCTATAGAAAATACCATTTCTGCCTTCTCTGGATTCTGTATACGATGAAGGGAAGGGGGTGAACAAAGGGGCTTTATGGCCCTCACTTCCTGGTACACTTCAAAGGAACTAGATGTGGATATCACCAAAAGGACTAACCATAACAATGGGGCTATTATCTTCATGTAGTTCTCTCTGAAGTCTCCATCCAGCCGGCAGTAAGGAAAGGGGGGTGGGAGCGTAATGCCTGAGACTGTCGCTGGAAGAAGGGGGTGATTGGGTGGGGCTACTGGGGAACCCCTTAAAACCTTGAATGGGAGAGCTTGGACCCCAAGTCCTGTCTAGAACGCCTGCAACCATTTTCTCTTAATAAAGGATGCCTGTTGGAAGAATTATTCCAAGAGTTCTGCCTTCTTAAGATGCAAAGTGGGGTGGGTCCTTACACATACACTCTGTTATTTCTGTTTGTCCAGTTACAAACATTGTCTTTCCGGGAAAGAAATCTTCCTACACTGAACTTCAAAGAAAGTGGATGGAAGGGAATAACATTCTACCAGAGTAAAGGCCCTTTGTTTAGGTACCTCAAGTTTAGTTAGGCATGCACAGGGGGAGCTGGTAATTGCTGGATTCTCTGGGATCCTAACTAGAACCATTTGGTGCTCCATGCCTACTATACATTATTTAATAAGGTATTTGGCCTGATCATAACTAATACTGAGTGGAAGTTCTCAGAGAAGTCCAAAGAAATTTCAGTTGCCATTGCCTGCTTCCATGCATACTGAAAATCTTCACTCTTAAAGACAAAAGGCCAAAGGGGGGGGGGGAGTCTTAGCCAATAGTTGAATATAATCATTCATTCCACCCTAAAATTCCATGAAATCTGTTTGTAGACAGAAGGCGGCAGTAGAGACACAATTAGAGATTTGAAGAGTTAATCTTAAAAATTTGCAGTATACAAATCCTAATGGTGCAAAATTGGAGAAAGGTTCTACTGGACACCTAAAATTGGAGAAAGGTTCTACTGGATAAAGAAGTTGTGTTATTGGCTTGAGTTCAATAATTTTAGAGCTGCCAGTAGGTAGTGATGACTTCTTCCCTTAATATATTTAAGGATGACAAATGATCTCATCTGTGGATTTTCAACAATATGGTCTCCTTGGACCTTCCTAGTGCCAGCAAAGTGAAGTATTTGAAACAGGAGATTTGCTCGATCTTATAGCCATCTATGCTCTAGAAATGGTTCTTGGGTTTCTAGAATAAGTAAGCTTATATAATAAAGCACCAAATAAAGTTTGGGTCATCATAGTACAACATATATTCATATATCTTACCTTTGTTTAGCTGGATTTCTAAAAGTCTCCAAGTCACTCTGAGCAATTTGTTCAGCTGCTTAGTGTTTAATTTACAACCATCCTGAAGAGTTTCTATCACAAACTTTCTAATTAAGTCTAGCCAGTGTGCATCTGTAGGCAATGTTGAAGTATTTGCTAGCGAGACCATGATTTCACATAAAGTTAAATTCAGCAAAAGATGATTAATATTGCTTGAAGATGTCATATAATACTTGTTGCTAAAAGAAAAACACACACAACAGATACAATTTTTAAATAAAAAAATATAATTTCTACAGCTTTAAGAATTTAATAAATAATAAATATGTTTTCTGTGATGGAACAAGAACATGTAAAGGTGGGTTCTCTGCTCTAAACCACTTCAGCAAAGGGCCAAATTCGTTTAGTAAAAGTAGGAATGAAAAAAAACTCCAATTTTAATAAATGAAAAGAACCTAGAGATAATCTGAATAACAATCAAGAAAGACCCAGTGTCAAAACCCCTCAAATATTCATTTATCCCTTTTCCTTTATTTCTTTCCTGCTTTTGCTTATATATTCATTTGGGGGGGCCTGCCATTCTGTTGTGCCGTGCTTGCATGAGGGGGAAATGTCCTTTACCTTGCTCTGCTCTCTATGGGGTGCCCTCCCTCTAGCTGAGAGGAATGTGATATGAAAACATCTGCCTTACCTCCAGATAATGGAGCCATTGGGAAACAAAACCGAGAGAGACCTTGAGAAGGATGCTAAATTTCCAGCTTCTCATAATACTGTGGCACTTATGAACTGGCTAGATTTCAACCAGACAGTTGAACACTGGGGAGAGCAGTTCTGAATTGCCTTTTTGGTGTAATCCTTTGCACGCCAAATCTTTAGATCTTGCTTTGCTCAATAAAAATTCCTTTTGAGACAATACCTGTTTCAAGAGTTCTGCTTTCTTAGGATATCTAGCTGAAGCAGATCCTTACATAAAGCAAGATCTGCAATAGTGCCCAACCCAAAGAGACATCTTTGGGGGGCCATGTACAACATGGTTTTGCACAGCAGTGAAATGGGAAAAGCTGGGATTGAAGACTGCAGTGAGTCGACTGTCCAGATCTATTCTGGAGAAGGCACCTCCACCTGGCTATAGGAAGCTGCTGCTTTAGAAGAAACCTCGAGTCCGAGATGGTTGCTCTGTATTGGGAAGAAAGAATTGGGAAGAAAGAACCTAAACTTTCACCCGAGGAGGTCGGAAGAACACTCGAAAGAAAAAGATAGAAATGCTTTCTGATGATGAGGAACCGGGTGGGCAGTCAGACCTTGAAGTGAGCCATGCATTACATGGTAGAGGCTTTCAAGGACCTAAAAGCCAAATTCCTAGGCTGCCCAGAAAAGGAGGAAGAATTAACCCAGGAGCGTGAACACGGTGAAGAAGAAACCATAATCGCCGAGGTGGCAAGCGGGGCCACAGGTTCGACAAAGACAGTGGCAGCTACTCCGGCAGCACGACAGCGAGCAATCCCCTGGAAGGCTTGGATCCCATGTCCACCCTGAGAGAGGACTCCCAGATGAGCCAAAGCTAGCTCCACTGGGAATTAAATTCGATGGGACTCTCAACAGCTGGGGTTCTTTCTGGCTCACTTCCTCACATACATGCAAGTGTATAGAAGGTCTCTATCCAATGATGCAGCTAAGATCAAGGTTGTCATCCTCGCCCTCGAAGGAACTGCTGCCAGATGGACGGTAATCTTATATAACTGCAACACTCCCGAGCTCCGAAATTTTAACTGGTTCATGACCACACAGAGACGCCGATTTGAAGATCGCCTGGCAGACCGGAAGGCTTGGGATCAAATAAAAACAATAAAACAGGGATGATGACTGGTACCAAATACACACAGGAGTTTCATGACTTGGCTTGCTACCTCAACTGGCCCGAAGACATCCTGATTAAGCTGTTTCCAAGATGGGCTAAACAACTACCTGTATGCTTGTGTGGCACAGGGAGTACCAGCACGCCTTTATGAATGGTGAAGAAGTGGAAATAGACCAAACCTGCAACCTTTATCATCCTACAAAATTCAGAGGATGGAGCCAGCTGGACAAGAGAGGCCAGCATAACCTCCGCAAACCAATCATGTTCCACTACCTGTTTCAAGTGTGGAAAAGAAGGGCATTGGACCGTGGAATGCTGCAGCAAGACTTCGGCTAGGAAACCAGATCGACCCTTTGGGGAGACAAGCCAAGCCAATATACCCAGTGCTCGAAAGACACCACTAAGGTCATGGAGCTCCCCCGAGCTCCAAAGGCAGACAGCAGAGCTCCAGCCCCACCGGATGATGAGTCAGGGATGTTGGAGAGCGATTATGATAACGACCCATTAGTAAGTGGGCCGATCAACTCCATAACTCTGCCCAGACATGGGCAAAAGAAGGCCCCTAACTGCACTGTTGGACTCGGGGTACACCTAGTACATAATCAGCCCCAGCCTATTTGGGAAAGTGGGGGTTCCCTAAGGAAACTCAAAAACGCCATCGCCTTTTGTCTGTTTGATGGGTCCATGGCAGGGGGGATCCCAGCAAGCTTTGTCACCAAACTCCTGGGACTCGCCATGGGATGCCATTCAGAGACTTAAGCCTTCATTCATTGTGGCTCCCAATATGGACTGGCCCCTTGTCCTTGGGCTAACCTGGTTAAAGAAATGGAACCCTCTAACTGACTACAGAGAACGGCAGCTAAGGTTCCCAAAGAAGGGAGCTCCTTCCCAGGGGTTGCTTGATAATAGAGCAGAGGGTCCGAAGCAAGAATTAGCCTCTGCGCTGAGTGAGCAAGAACTTCAGAGCATTCCAAGAGAGTACTGCGATTTAGCTGAGGTTTTCAGTGAAAAGTGGTTGGATGAGCTTCCCCCTCAACGACCGAATGACTGTGCTACTGAGATCACCCCGGGAGCTAAGTTATCTAATCAGAAACTCTATTCGATGACCCCTAGAAAACTAGATGAGCTGCGCAAGTTCATTGACAAGAATTTAACCGGGGTTCATCCAATCGGCCAGATCTCAGCTGGCAGCCTGTTCTATTCAGAGAGAAGAAGAATGGTTTCTTTGTCTCTACGTGGATTATAGGAGGTTAAATGCAGTATCTGTGGCAAATGTGTACCCCTGTCCCTCATGAGGGACATGTGAGCTCACCAAGCAAAAGGAAAAATCTTCTCAAAGTTAGACCTATGCAAAGTGTATTATCACATCAGGATTAAGGAGGGGGATGAATGGGAAACTGCTTTCAACTTCCACCTAGAGTGCTTCCAATTCAGGGTACTCCCCTTCGGGCTACAGGGAGCCCCAGAAGTATTTGTGCAACTAAACAATGAGGTCCTCCATGAGCACCTGTATAAGGGTGTTTTGAAGTATTTGGACGATATCTTAATTTACACTGAAACAAAAGCTGAACATTTAAAATTAATTTAGGGTGGTCCTAAAGAAACTCTGTTAGAGAATTTTAATTTCTCTGTTGGTGAAAAATAAATCAGAAGCTCTCACAGTTGACTACATTTAGCTGATTCAAAATAACCTCTTTATACTTATATCAAAATATTTACAATACCATACATTCTTCTTTACAGCAACATAGCACAAATGAAGACTTCTTACAGAGAGAAACAGAAACAAGCCTGAGACTGAAAATTCAGCTTCTAACTCAATACTCTTTTGCACAGACTCAGTAGCACTTTCTTCACATTGGCTGATTGAGTTACCACATGACTCTTCCTGCTCATGAATATTCCAACACTCCTCCCTTCATGACAGGAAGAGACATCAGACCTATTGACTTAATACATTCTCTATAGTGAACACTACCCAATGGTTTACTCATCATGTCTGCCAAATTATCCTCAGAAGAACAATGATGTAAACTAATCAATTTTCCTTTTACAGCTTCCCTGATATTACAATACTTAATGTCTACATGTTTACTTCTATTCTTCACCCCGTCACCAGTTGCCATTTTTATATAGGCAGCATTGTCTTCAAATACCTTTACAGATTCTTTTACATTAATATTTAAATCTTGCAACAACTGTACATACCACGTTACTTAAGAACACAATTCAGATAAAGCAATGAACTCTGCTTCTGCTGTTGAAATAGCAACAGTTGTTTGTTTTCTGGACTTCCATCCAAACAGAGTCCCTCCAAACAATATTATAATACCAGAATTTGATTTCCTTGTGTTTATGTCATTTGCATAGTCACTATCGACATAACACTTTAATTTCAATTCCTCAGTAATCTGTATTTGAAGACCCAAATTTATAGTTCCCTTTAAATATCTGAGAACCCTTTTTACACCCATCCAATGTAACTTTGTAGGTGCAGCAGTAAAATGACTCAAAATGCTTACTGCGAAAGCTATGTCTGGTCTGGACCACTGTGATAGATATAACAAACTCCCTATTGCTGAATGATATATCTCTTGATCGCAGGTTTCACCTTTGTCTGCACTTAAACTATTATAAAAATCCGTATTCATGGGTGTGGGAGCAGTATTGCTATCTTTCATATTATGTTTCTCCAATAATTGCTTAATTTTTCTCTTTGACTGAGAATATAACCACCTTTTTCATTTTTCTGTATCTCTACACCGAGATAATTTTTTATTTCTCCCAAATTCTTTAATTCAAATTTCTTTCCTAATTTATCAGCAAATTCCTTGACTTATGATGCATCTTTTGCAATAAAGCAAAGATCATCCACAAATGATAACAGTAAACAATTCCCTCCTTGTAATTGTCCAGTATATATACAATTATCAGCTTTGCAACTCTTAAATCCAAGATCCTTTAAAGCAGTATCTAAACAGATATTCCAGTTTCTGGCTGACTGCTTCAGCCCATAAATAGCCTTGTTTAATTTATATACCGTATTAGGTTTTGCAATTTCATATCCTGGTGCTTGGATCATATAAATTTCTTCCTCTAACTCAGCATTGAGGAATTCAGTTGTGATATCAAAGTGCCAGATTTTAAGTTGATATGCCGCTGCCAACGCCAGTGCTAATCTTATACTCTCACTTTTCACAGTTGGCGCAAATACTTCATCATAGTGTAAATTCTTTAATTGTGAAAAACCTTGTGCCACTAACCTAGCCTTATACTGTATATCATTATTTTGCAATACCTTTTTTTATATACCCACTTACAACCCACAGCTTTGATTCCCTGTGGCAAAGTCACTGATTTAAATACTTCATGCTCTCCCATGGATTTCATCTCTTTATCCATGGCCTTCTTCTATCTTTCTTGTTCAGCTTTTGGTAATGCCAAAACTTCTTTATAACTTCTTGGCTCATACCACACATTGCAAACCTTTACCTTGCTGGTAGAATACCTGTCAGGCGGAATTCCTTTATTACATTGCTCTGACCTATATGGTATTAACTGTTCCTGTGTCTCAAGTCTTTCTGGTTTCATGTCTTGTTCAGCCTCTCCTCCTTGAACATTGACATCTTCAATAATCATTTTTTATCATTAGATGAGTTATTGTCATTAAATAGATCACCGTCATTAAGTGAGACATACCCAGAATTTGCATTAATTCTATCCCAATTTTGTTCTGCAAAATTAGCAGACCTTGAAATTACAATTCTTTTACTTCCATCGCTAAAGCGATATCCTTTTGACCCTGGCTCATAGCCCATAAACCTGAGCTTTCTTGCCTTTTGCTGTCCTTTTCTTCTGATTGCTTTCGGAATATGTACCCATGCAGTACTTCCAAAAATTCTCAAATGTGCCAGTGATGGCTTTCTCCCATATAGAATGGCATATGGAGTATTATTAATGGAAGAACTCCACAGCCTGTAAACTATATAATTGGCAGTCAATATGGCTTCTCCCCAATATGACTTGCTCATACCAGAATCCTCTAATAATGAATCTTTCATTATTTGCAAAACACCATTCCTTCTTTCAGCTACACTGTTCTCTGCTGCTGTGTAAGGATTTGTACGTCTGTGTCTTATCCCCAACTGCCCCAACCATTATTGGAATTTAGTTGACATAAATTCAGTACCTCTGTCAGTTTGCAACTGACACACTTGTTGTCTGTACCTTCTCTCTACAAAACTTATTCACTGTTTGAATTGTTGTAGCACCTCTGTCTTTCCTCTAAGCAAGTAGCAAAACGAATACCTGCTATAATCATCAACAATTACCAGTGCATATTTTGCTCCTCCCAAACTGGCTTGCATAGATCCCACCAGATCTGCATGGACCAGCTCTAGAGCTCTTTTTGTCTGTCTTGTGCTATATTTACTAACTGGGAATGCCTTTGACTTTGATGCTTTGCATACTGCACAATCCAAATATGTTTTACATCCCTTCAAATTTAGCCCTTCTGCAAATTCTTGCATTTGCTGCAAAACTTTAAAACTTGCATGGCCAAGTCTTCTATGTAGAAGATGAACACACGAATCATGCTCTGCAACATTCTTAAATATATGGGAACATTGAACCTTTTGTCCCTGCAATACATATAGATTATCTTCCTTTATGCCTTCTGCACAAATATTCCCATTCCTTTTGATGAGACACTTCCCATTTACAAAAATGGTCTCAAAACCTTGTTTGGTTAAATTAGACACACTTAACAAATTATGTTCCATCTCAGGTACACAAAGCACATTGGTAAACTTTGATTCCAAATATGGAATTTTTACATCGCCTTTTCCAATGACTTTTGCTTTCTGGCCACTTGCCAAAGCCACAGATTCTTGTGCTACTGGAACAAACCTGCAAAATAATTCAGAGTCATTAACAATTGTTTGACTTGCCCCACTATCTATTAGCCACTTGTCTCTGTTGTTGCTATAGCAAACTTTTGCAACATCAAAATGTTCCTTGTGCAAATCAGTCTTTTTTGCTTGCACAAATGTCCTTCGCTGTAAATTGTTCCTCTGCAAACAGTTCCTTTTCAGATGTTTGTTTGCTCCACAAATGTTGCAATTCTTTTCTTGCTGAGCTCTTTGCTTGCAAAATCTCTCTTTTGATGCAACTTGGTCCCATATGCTTGTTTCTTCTCTGGAGACTTGCAGTCTGGACCCCCTTCTCAGGAATTTCACTTCCTGTTGGCTGTTCCTAAAATGTTGCTTTTCTTCTTCATTAAGCAAACATGCCTTTAAAGCCTCAAAATTTAATTCTTGCTCTTCTTTACACTCAAATATGAGCCAAGGTGGCACAGCAGTTAGAGTGCAGTACTTCCGGGTACTTTAGCTGACTGTGTTCAGCAGGTCAGCGGTTCAAATCTCACCGGCTCAAGGTTGACTCAGCCTTCCATCCTTCCGGGGTAGGTAAAATGAGGACCCAGATTGTTGGGGGCAATGTAAATATATATATACATTGCTTACTGGTGTACACCGCTTAGAAAGTGCTTGCACTTAAAGCGGTATATAAGTATCATAAATAAATAAATAAATATTGCAGAAACTGTGTCCCAAGTTTTATTGGTGTTCAACACCAATAAAACCTTCTGGGACTCAGGGAATTTAATCCCACATTGTTCTAAGTCCAATAATAAACTTTGCATTTTATTTAAATGCTGTTACACAGATTCACCTGGTTGCAAACAGGCCCTGTAAAGTTTTCTTGACAATTGCACTATATTGCATGCAGAAACATTCATGTGCACAGCTCTCAACTTCAACCAAATCTCCTTTGCAGTCTTTAAATTTGCAACATTTAGAAATTGTTCATCATCTAAATTCAAGATGAGATAAGCCATAGCTTGATCATGACTTTTCTGATCAGCAGCTGCAAACACTTGTGGGGGATTTTCTACGATATACCACAGCTCTTTTGCTTTCAGCAAACATTCCATTTTAGCAGCCCTCACAATGTAACTTTTCTGGCCCAAGTGAGGCACAGAGCTTTCCTTGAATTCCATTGCAGCCATTCCGCTAATTCTGCCTTGTTCTTATACTTTCTAAACACAGGCAATTTCTTCCAGCTTTAAATTACAATGCAGTCCTTAATAAGCTCTGGGCCCATAACCTGTTAGAGAATTTTAATTTCTCTGTTGGTGAAAAATAAATCAGAAGCTCTCACAGTTGATTGCATTTAGCTGATTCAAAATAACCTCTTTATATTTATATCAAAATATTTACAATACCATACATTCTTCTTTACAGCTACATAGCACAAATGAAGACTTCTTACAGAGAGATAGAGACAAACCTGAGATTGAAAATTCAGCTTCTAACTCAATACTCTTTTGCACAAACTCAGTAGCACTTTCTTCACATTGGCTGACTGAGTTACCACATGACTCTTCCTGCTCATGAATATTCCAACAAACTCCATGTTGCCAAACTGTATGCCAAGCTCTCAAAGTGTGAATTCCATAAAGATAGAATTGATTACTTGGGCTAGCGCATCTCCCACAAGGGGTGGAGATGGACCCAGATAGTGTGGGCTGTCATGGGGTGGACTCTTCCCTGCACCAGGAAGCAGCTACAGATCTTTCTGGGGTTCGCTAACTTTTACCGGC